TTTCTGCTCAGGAAAATGTTTGTAACCATATATTGAGCGTTGCAAAGTTCAAATTATTTTACCGGCATCCGTTGTTTCAATCCAGGAGAAAGTTGCGTCCAAGTAGCTGCGGTGCAGTATGTTGTCTGACGGTCAACGGATACACCTTTCCTTTTCAGGATTTCTTACCAAAAAAACACTATGGGCTAGAAATAACTCCTAAAGTGATGAAAAAATAGGTGACCACCCTACCGTTGAAATTCTTATTCTAAGGCAAAATCCAGCTGTTAACGACACTATTTAAGACAACTATACACATACCTAATTAAACATAGTTTACAATTCTGAACTTAACTTAATAATAAACTTATAACTAACCTGGCAAGGAGCAAATCCTGTAGTTTGGATTAGCGAATGGGTTGACCTGTGGCCTCTGGTGATCTTCTTGGGCCGTCGCGTCGTTTGGTTGTGATGAAATACTGATGTGTTGACTATTGTCGGTGTCATTATGGGCAAGCAATAGTGGTTACCACGGTGGTTTGTGGAGACAGTTGAAAATTATTGCCTATGCTCGGAACGATTCCCAGTAAGCGCCTTGAATGCACTTAATTCACCGATCTTTCCGTAGCGAACGCCCTTCTTTAATCCCGTCTTAACCGCTTATTATTATTAATTCGAACCGCACCAAACCCTTTGCCGGACCCGGAACTTAACAATGTTAACTTTGGTACAGGGTAGCGCCTTCCCGATGTGCCACTTTGGGACACACAAAATAGTTCCCGGCGTCTGTACTTCACCGGAAAAAATAAGAATAAAATATATTATCGGCGGCGTGGTGACTTCCACGATATCCGCGATAATTCTCCCCTGATTCTGTCAAACTATCAACCTGTGATCTCCTTTTGACACGCCCGAATTTTACAACGCGCCCCAAAATCTCCAAATTTAATTGGAAGATAACGAAGGGGGGGGAACAAAGGATCGGAAAGGATTACATTCTTCACGACAACTTGCTGTACCGGAAGGTGAGCAGAGGAGAGGATTGGTGGACCATCTGTATTCCCAAGGACATAGAGGGAAAGCTCATCAGAGAATACCACGAACTATATGGACATTTCGGTGCGAGAAGATGTGCCGCACTGATCAGTGAGACTTGTTATATACCTAACATAAAGAGGAAATGCGCAGAAACGTTGGCCTCGTGCGATTTGTGCCAAAAGATAAAGTGGACCAATAAAAGATCAGAAGAGTTAATGAAACATGTAGAAGCGTAGGCACCGCTGGTGGATTTATTCGGGCCATTACCAACAAGAAGAGGAGTAGTGACTACTATTTTTGTAGCCACAGACGTATTCACAAAATACGTTAAACAGTACCCAGTTAAGAAGGCCAACACAAGAACCCTTCTTAACAAGATTATTGATGATTACATATATATATATATATATATATATATATACATATATAATTTTGTTTTTGGTCCGTTTCACAAACGGACGATGACTGATCAGATCAGTCCTGGCGGTCAGTTCTAATGAGACAGGGCCATTGTTTGCGTATTTGATCGGTTGACTGATGGTATATTTAAAAATAATGAATGACCCTTGCTCTTCAGGACTGACCATCGGTCGTTTGTAAAACGGCCCTTTCGTTATGTTTGAATGTCTATCGCGCACAGTCGGGCTCTCACAGTCGGTCGCGCACAGTCGATCTCTCATAGTCAGTCGGAAATAAAACACGTAATTTTTTGTACGTAAGAGAAGTCGAAAGCGTATATATATTACGCACACAGTCGAACTATGCCAGGGAAACCTTCTTCGGGGCGAAAACCCTGACGTAGCCGTAAAAGTCACAAACAGAAAAATAAAGTTTACAGAATGTTACAATAATTTGTAACAAAACGAAACACATATACGAACAAAACAAAACGTTTTACAAATGTAACAATTGTTAAACGAACAAACGCGAACCAACCACATCTAAATGTTGTCGCAAAACGAACGATAAATTTTAGGTTTAAAAAAATAACGCACGCACCAAACAAATTAAATCCGTTCCAAGAACATCATCGTGCATTTATTGAGTGACGGTTCCAAGCCATCCAGGACGATAACACGGTCGTCTTCGTATCTTGTTCGTCGGTGCAAATCGCGATTCCTAACGTCTGCATAGTAATTTCGATGCAACACGTCGCGCTCTGATGATAAACGATGACCAACGCACGGAAGTACGCATTTTCGTTACCTGCCGATATGGAAACGTTCTCTGGATCGAAATTTTTAGACAATACGTACACGCGATCCGCGCTGGTGTAATTCACGAACCAGAGCACCACGTAGTTTCCTGCTTGGATCAGTTTCATTCTCGAATGGTGGTTGTTCGTTCCGCATTCAACGCACGGTTGTTGATAGTTGTTGGTGGTGCGAAAGAGTCTATTAAAATCGTAGCGCAGGTCTTCGTCCGCTATCGCGCACGGCCTCACCATTAACTGATACGCGGACGTTACGTCCTCGTCTCGCTCGACGCCGCATGCGGTGCACGTAACGCTGTTGCAATACGTTACGAGAATCTCTTCCCCGTAACGCGGGGGCAACATCTCCAACATAGCCGTCATAAATTCCTGGCAATCCTGCTGCAGACGGTTTTGCCAGGTGCCTCCCAGGTGAGACCGTACCCTTGAGGTGTCCCTTACCGATCCGTTTAATATATCTTTCAGTAAGTGTTCCAGTGCCGTCGTGCCTTCCGTTATATAAGCCACTAATGGCGGAACGCTCAATAGGTACTTTATGATGGTGTCGCGACATAAGAACGTGGATATTTGGACGCGGAAATTAGGACGCGCGACATAAGGACGCGTGCGACAAAAAGACGCGCGTGATAAAAGAACCTTTATTCTGTTTTAACATCTCTAACAATTTTTTTAAAAGAAATTACTAATAAGCAAAATAACTGCAAGTGTTATCGAAACGTTTAGAATTTGTATGTACAGTGTATTATATTTTGCTTGAGACTGAAGTGTATTTTAGCTGTTTTTAAAGATAGAGACTTGCGGTTTTCGCAATCTTCTGCTACCCTACTATTTGTGAAACAAAATCAATCTAGCTGTGTGTTTTTGAGATACAGAGTGAAAATAAAAATGTTGACTTTTTGAGATGTTATATGATATACCTATGTAAGATAGAGAAAATGTAAAAGCTGCCTATAGAGACATTTTTTTGAAATTTACTATAGAACTATAGAAAGACAGTAAAGAAAAACTTAGCTCACACAGCAATGGCCTTTTGAAAAATATTGATCAATGCATTAAAAATGCGCCAAAGCTCCTCGTGGCGAAAATCTTTTTAATTCTTTTAATTTTAGCCATGAAAATCAATAAAAACCAAAAAAGTTACTTTCCTTCACACTTTATCCAGGCTTAGGACTGGCAGTTAAAATACTGGCGTGTTTAAAAGTTTATGTGGTTGTAGCGGCCATTACTTTGTCTATAAATTATTTTCTATTTTTTAATCTTTTTGATTTTTTGTAGTTTATTAGTTTTCTAATACAGAACACAGTAATTTTTTTTGTTTTAGTATTTTGTGTTTTTTTTCTTTTGTGAATTTCAGCAGTTTGTGTTATTTACATAATATGCATTATTTACGCCTGCAGTTGAAAATTGTGCGCAATTCCTCGTATGTACTTTCGTTGGTAGTTGGGTTTCTCTACTTCGCTTCTCCGACTGTTCGAATCATACCTTAGTGGTAGACTACAACGTGTGCAATACAAGAATTACATATCTGACTCTGCTGTGGTTACGTCAGGAGTTCCGCAAGGATCTAACCTCGGTCCCCTTATGTTCTTAATCTACATAAATGATTTGCCTTCTCTACTTTCCTGTAACACCTTATTATTCGCTGACGATTTAAATATTTTTACATCCATTTATAGTAATGATGATTGCGTTTACCTCCAAACACAAATAAATAAACTTGGTGAATGGTGTTCAAAAAACAACCTTCACTTAAATATGTCTAAATGCAAAGTAGTTTCGTTTTCAAGAAAATCTCAACCTCTTTTACATCCTTATCAATTTAATGATATTCAGTTTAAACGGTGTACATCGGTCACGGATTTGGGTATTATATTTGATTTTAAACTTTCCTTTTCGGAACATAAAGGGTTTTTCAATAAGGACGGGTCGATTTTGATTATTTTATGTTTTTTTTCTTTTGTGAATATCAGTGCGCAATTCCTCGTAAGTACTCAATAGTTGGTCTATTACCGTATTCCGATACTATTTTGCCTGAATTCTGTTGGCAGTATCTTTGTACACTTTGTACGTGGCGGCACCGTTCCAGCTATATATTGCTCAATTTTTAATACATTTAAGCTGTACTCTTTCTTCAATGCAGTAATAAATCGCCAAATGCTTGGATGTACAGCGGATAGTACAGATGAGAAGCTGTTGTGCCACCCCTCAACCGCATTATTAGTTCGGGGTAAATCTTGTTCGACCGCATTATGCACACACCAAAGGTTTATGGAAAAAAGCGGTTCCCTTCGTCTTCCTCTTCTGTCTAAACGTCCGATCCAGGTATCTTCGAAATAATTAACTATAGGTCGCAGTAAATTTTCATTTATTGTATAAAATTCACTGTCCAGAAGTTCATCGAATGCTGCAATTACGGCCTCTTCGGGAATAAACGCCAGTGCAGAATGTAGGGCAAAGTCAGGATCTTCACTGTATCTGACCTGCAGTCCTGCCCCTTGAACTTGTCTCCAGAGGCACTGCGTAAAGTGAAAGAAACAACCACGCATACTGGTTTGTGGAAACTCCTCCTGAAACGCATTAATCGCTGCCCTCTCGTAGTCAACCATAATTGTGGTAGGTCGTAGTCCAGGTTTTAGCAATTTCAACTGTTGGAATAATCGAGAATCTTCTTTCCCTCATTCGGTTCCATGTGCCACGTTCTTCGGCTCGTAATGTATATACTTTCAATTGTGCTAAGGCCAATACAAACTTACTTTGTAAATCACCTACATCAGTGCTCCATGAACGTCAAATTTCTTTCGGAACTAAATAATAAGTTGCGTTGTTCTCCCGGGCCGCTGTCAAACAACAGGAAAGGTTCGCCATTGTTAGTTACAGTATATTCCGGAGGAAGCACCAGCTCTGTCAAATTTATGGGGTTTGCAGGAATAGCTTCATACCGGTTTCGGGCTCGCTGTATGGTGCGTTTTAAAGAAGATACAGAGGGTAGCTGTCCAGCTCCTGCCAGTGATAGCCCTTCTGATGCTGCACCCACTATCGCTTGAGTAGTTGGTTCAACTTGTTGAGCCATTCGCTTAATATCATTGCAAACTGACCTTGCTTCCAACTTTGCAGCATCGGCAACGTGGTTATGGGATGTACTCTTCACAACTTCACCTTCAAATGTATGCACTCTTCCAGGACATTTACACTTGTTGTAACTGGCGCACTTCCAAATAATCTTCCCTTCAATAATTCGTTCCTTTTTGTGAATGAAACCGTTCAGTATCAACATGTTGTTGCCTTTTTGACTTTTCACAAACGTTAAAACCATCTTTACATGAACAGATATAACTCAAATGACTGGGTATAGAAGTGAAAATCCATATTAAATACCTGCTCCAATGCCATTAAGTGTAATTAGTTAATACCAAGTTAATCATTCATTAGCATCACATTGTCATTAGACAGTCCTGTGATATACTTAATTAGATAGGCTATCTATTGCAATTTCAAAATTCTCTATTATGTACGTAATGACAATGGCCCATAAGAATAAAAATAAGCAAATGCTTATACTTGCAAAATTCAAAGTAAATACTCGTAACTGCCCCTTCATACTGGTCTGTTTAGCAGCGCTGCACTGCGTCCTGCCCTGCTGCTCAGCAGCGCTGCTAAGTCGCCCAGTGTGAAGGAGCACTTACGAGTATTTACTTTGAATTTTGCAAGTATAAGCATTTGCTTACTTTTATTCATACGGGCCAATGTGATGATTATCATTAATAGGGTATTAACTATTAAAACCACTTATCTGTTTTATTTAGGTAAATATTCGAAATTCTAAATGTTTCCATAACACTTGCAGTTGTTTTCCTTATTAGTTATTAGTAATTTCGTTTTAAGAAATAGTTAGAAATGTTAAAACAGAAAACGTTCTTTGGTCGCACGCGTCCTTTTGTCACGCGCGTCTGTTTGTCGCACGCGTCCAAATATCCACGCCCTTATGTCGTAAATTCCTTTATGATCGAATCGGCATAACACGACACTCCATCGTCGTTACGTAATCCGGTCAATCGCAGATCAATAACTGTTAGGTAACAATATCCTCACTCATATTACTTAAGGTGAACGAATTTATTATATAATCGTGCTCTTTGAGCATGTCGCTTCAGGGAATGTGCTCTTCTTCAGAGAAATTATTGGCAGATATAATATAATTTTGTTAATTTAAAAGGAATGGCATATTTGTTACGAACTTACTATCTCTGTGGATATTTGTGTCGACGACCGTCATCGGTGGAGATTGATGAGCTTGAGGAGAAGGGGGAGGAGCTTCAAGAATGACTCGAGGAATTGCTCGAGCTTGAGGTGATGAAATCCGTTCCTCAATGTTCTTTGTACACGTCGAGTTTCCATTGGCCGTCGCCTCGTCTTCGTAAATATTTATGACGATCGGTTTATGATGGCCAAAAACGGTCGCTCCGATGAGTGCGACGGCACGTGCCGCATCGTTGGTTAAACACAAATCGATCGACGTGTTGTCCCAAGTCGTGGATTTTTCTTCCGTTAGAGATGTCAAACCTTTGGCCGTTAAAAATTTTTTTAATAAAGAAGCACGAAATTCATCAGTAGGTAATGATATATAGAATTTGAGAGCTTCTTCTGTTTGTATGAGGTCTTCTGAAGAACTATATTCGGTTTTAGAATTATCCGAAGAATTATCTAAACTTACACTGGTACTGCTACTTGGACTTTCACTAGGGGAATTAGATGAAAGGCCAACTAGTTTCCATACATCATAGTAATTTTTTAAGACACAAGTATATACTGCCACAGGGTTGATATTACAACCTCTTGCACAAATCTTGGTAGCCATGTCCTTCCATATATCTGAATTTTTTGATGAGAATCGTCTTTCTGCATCGTTGTAAAATAACGGTAAATCAAATGAAGATATGGTTTCTCGAATTATTGATATTTCTGAGGGCTGCCTTCGTCGAACCATGCTTTAAAATATGTCAGAGTGATTGATAATTTCAAAATATGTAACTGTGTGGTGTGGCATATCTACAAAGATATCTGTTTAACTAAATTCTATATAAGTGTACCCTATAACGCTCCCAATTTTCCACTGCTACTGGAATCGGGGTGGGAAAATTGAGAGTTCACAAGTGCTGGTTCGGGTAGCTCAATTCGCAGCAGGGTTCGGTAGTAAAACCAGTTGAAAGCGGAGATCGCTTAATACATATATTGGTTCCAATAATAAAACAAAATAAAATTAAAATAATGTACACAAAAGCACGCCTCTGTGGACTGCCTCCGCACGTCACTGGCTCGGACTGAAGTGGAACGGTCAGTGCGACACTTCCAGTGGATGCTGGACACGGTGTGTTTCCTCTTAGGTTTGTTATATTCCTTTAACAATCGGAAGTATAATTAACACAAATAAATTCAGAGTAATTAAGTGATTGTTTAAACAATAGGTGAGTGACCTTGTTGATTATTATTTAATGTAATACTATGGGGGAATTCTACCTAGACAGAATTCCAAAAAAAAAATGAAACGGGTTCTAAACAAAATTGACTGGACGTAATAAAATGAAAAGGGGTTCTTTAATTAACTCAACAAAAGTATCTGGATGTGGATTATTATTAAACAGGATGGTTTTCAGGACTTAGGTACAAAGTACCGCCCTAAGTTACCAAGAGTTCGGGGAAGGTTTAGAATAACAGGTGTGAAAGTTGACCAGGTACACAGTACCAGCCGTGAGCTTCGGGAAGTAGTTATCGGGAGTTAGACCGTAGGTGCAAAGCACCGGCCTAAGCTTCTGGATCAGGTAAGAGATAACAGGGTTCGAAATTTAGGCCTTTGGTACAAAGCACCGGCCTAAGCTTCAGGGAGAGCAGGAGATCTGGAGGGTGGTTCTGGTAGAAGGTTTTGAGCTATAGGAAGGTGATCTCAATTAGTTCTCTCACAGACGGGACACTCGCTTTTATATTCAACGGCCGGTTATGTTTGGGGGAATATTTGGAAATGGTAATCGGGAAGGGATTAACGGGAAGTGGTATTTGATATGATCGGAAAGGTAGGTGGCGACATCTCACGGAACTTCAGGAAAATAGTTTTCATCATTGCTTCCTAAAATGATTATAAAAAGTATCATAGTTGGATTCCTTACATATCACCCCTCCTTCGGAAGCCGGTACCTTGGTGTCCTCTGCCCGACTCATCCCTAATGCGGCCGCTTCTTTCCTCGTCATTTTAATAAATTTCCTATTTCCGATGGGGATAGTAATACGCCTTTTATTCCTCTTTACCCTGCGGCGAGCTTGTCGGCTTGACATGGGGGCCTCCCCCCTATCCATGTTTAACAGGTTGGCCATGGCCTTTAATTTGTCGGAGGTGACAGCGGCCCCCGGCAGTGGTTGTATACCTATTCTCTGAGATGTGTTGAGAGATTCCGTGTGGGTTGCATCTTGTGGTATCGGTTCCCAACAAATCCTCATTATTTCTTCATCTGGAGTGGATAAAATTGGCAAACCACTGATGGGTGACGGGGTTGTTATCATTACCTCCTGTACCTCTGGAGACATGTTTTCCGATAGTATTGGACTAGTTATTGTCTTCACAAATGTCGGTGTATTTTCCGGTGCTGCTATTCCAATCACGTCCGGACTTCCAAATAATCTTTCCAGTCTACTTGTTAGGTCCTCCATTACCTTGGTTGGAAGCGGAGTTTTCGGTGGCTGGGTACCTCTGGATATGTAGATCTTAGGTATATTGTGGTCCTGGTTAAACCTCCTGGGCGCCCACGGATAAATTTTCCTTTTGGCTTGTCGGGATCTTTGCTTTACTGGAGCCATCTCACTAATACTGTCTAATGGGCTGTGTGTTTCCCTTATATGGGACCTCTCTGAGCAGGTTTCCCATTCCACACTTTTTGGAGATGGCAGGGTGTTAAGGCGGTCTTTAGACTGGATTTCAATCTCATCCTGGAGGTCAACTGGCTTTATATCCTTTACGTGGACATTCTTCTTTTGTGACCTCCTGTCCCCTGTTTTGATTTCCACTATCACAGGAGATATAATTCGTGTTATTTCATGTGGCCCTGAAAATTTTGGGGATAACTTGCTGGAAATTCCCTTACCTTTATCAGACAATATATGCATACGACAATAAACTTGTTCTCCCACCCGGGGTTGATAGGGCCTTCTACGGAGGTTATAATATTTTTTCTGAGTTTCAAATGCCTGTGCAAGAGCTTCTCTTGCGAGTTGTCGGAATTCCTCTAATTTTTCTAGTTTTGTTCCATACTCTTGTGGTTGCACCATTTCCCCATCTTCCTCCGGTTGAACTTCCCTTATGAGAGTGTTAGTGGGTAACATTTCCCTGCCAAAATTCAAAAATGCTGGAGTGTATTGTGTAGAATCGTGCTTAACACTATTAATAGCGAAAGCTATTTCTGGTAGATGTTGGTCCCAGTTTCTTGGTACTGCATTGGTGTTTTGTGCAATCATCATACCAATTACTTTATTTGCCCTCTCTACTGGATTGGCCTGGGGAGTGTATGGTGGAGTTAACTGGTGCTGGATACCCCATTCCCGTAGAGTGGTTTTAAATGTGCGGCTAATAAACTGAGATCCATTATCTGAAACTACCTTTCTCGGAGTTCCAAATCTACAAATAATATTTTCCTGGAATGTTTTAATTAAAACAGCGCTGGTAGCCTTGCGTATTGCTTTTATCTCTACCCACTTGGTGAACCTATCCTGAAATACAATTGCATAACAGTTTCCTTTACTGGAGCGGGGAAGTGGTCCTATAAAGTCAATACTAACTATCTCCCATGGTTGATTTACTCTTGAAAAGTGCATTTCTCCCATAGGTTTCTGGGTGGTGCTCTTGTATTGTAAACAATTTTTACAATTTTTAACGTATTTAATTACATCCTGTGTGCTTCTAGGCCAGTAATAATTTTGGAACACCCTGGAAATTGTTTTTGCCACTCCTAAATGTCCTGCGGTTGGTTGATCATGGCATTCTTTCAACACCCGGGAACGTTGGTGTTTTGGAACACACAATTTCCATGAACTGCCAAAACCCTCAGCGGCGGCAGGAGATGATAACGGAAAAGCACGATACAGTTCGCCCTGCTGGATTTTATATTCTGGATACTCTTCTGGGTGAGTTTGAACTTTTTCTTTTAATTTGTCGTACCACTTACATGTTTCAGTTTCAGAATGTTCGTTATCTTCTACAGCTGCTATGGCTTCTGGATTTCCATCTTCTTCGTATGAACGTGATAACGCATCAGCAACTTTATTCCATTCTCC